GCAACTACTAAGCTTTTTACTCTCTGTATAGTTTTCCCTTTTCCACAATGTAATGTAGTTGGAATCATACAGTATATACCCTTTTCAGACTGGCTCTTTTTACTAAGCAATATGTATTTAAGTTTCTTCCATTCTTTTCTTGGCTCAAGGGGTCATATCAAGGTGGGGAGGTCTTGCCTCTTGGTATTCCCATTCCTAGCTAGATTTTCTGTATTTTCTCTTTTTATTGCTGAATATTTCATTTGTATGGATGCACCACAGTTTGTGTATCCACTCACCTTTTAGGGGACATTTTGGTTGCTTACAATTTTTAGCAATTAGTAATAAAGCTGCTATAAACATTAAAAAAAGAAAGAAAGAAAGAAAGAAAATGCTGGGTTTCCAGCTATGAATGTAACAAAGACCAACCAAGAATTCCTCCCCAGTGACACTTCTCCAAGGCAAGACCACCTGTGACACCACTGTGTCATTAATAAAGCACTGTTTCGCCCTACCCAGTTTGCCCCTGTGGATATAACGTTGGCCTGTGGACTGAAGGGTCCCAGGTTCAATTCCACTCAAGGGCATGTATCTTGGTTGTAGGCACATTCCCAGTAGGGGTTGTGCAGGAGGGAGCTGATTGATGTTTCTCTCTCATTGAGGTTTCTAACTCCCTATCCCTTTCCCTTCCTCTCTGTAAAAAATTCAATAAAATACATCTAAAAATAAATCAATAAAATCATGTTTCTTCTGTGATGTACAAAGTATTCTTCCCCTTAAACCCCACTTGACCCATTCCATGGGATAAATCATGCAAATCTTCAGAGAAAAACAAAAAAGGTGGATGATCAACATTGTGGTAAAACAACAAAGGACAAATGAGACAACAGATAAATGACATATTTGAGCCCTTGCTGGCTTGGCTCAGTGGATGGAGCGTCTCCCTGTGGACTGAAGAGTCCTAGGTACAATTTCGGCCAGGGCCTGTGCCGGGGTTACAGGCTTCATCCCCAGGAGGTGGTGTGTAGGAGGCAACTGATCCATGATTCTCTCTCATCATTAATGTTTCCATATCTCCCTTCCTCGCTTAAATCACAAAGAATATATTTTTTAAAAACGCACCTATGTGAGTGACATCCGAAAGAATGCAGAATTAGAGATATGACCATCTCACCCGAGCCCAGTGTAAGTAGACAGCTACTCACGAACAAAAACCCATTTGAAATAAGGAGTAAGAGTAACATGAAGACAGTATAACAGACACAAATAAACAAGTGTACAGAAAGAATGACCAGAAAAGACTGGGTGAATAAACATATTTGAAAATACGTACAGTAAAAAACAAGGGTCAGAATTACCTCCAGCAGCCCCTGTGCTTTTGCTATCATTGACCAAAGTGGCCTGTCCTTAAAAGAACACTAGAAACTTTTGTGTTTAAAAACCACATAATGCCTTGGCCAGTATGGCTCAGTTGGTTGGAGCATCATGCTGTGTACCAAAGCGTTGAGTATTCAATTCCCATTCAAGGCACATATCAGTATATGGGTTCCATTTACAGTTACCTTGTGTGCAGAAGTCAGTCGATGGATGTTTCTCCCTCACATGGATCTTTCTCTCTCTCTCTCTCTCTCTCTCTCTCTC